AGTTGAAGACTCAGAACAGCCACCTCGATTGCCGTTATCAGAGTTTGTGGTGTATGGAATCCTGTTCCATCCCATGTAGTGAGTGTTCCTACAGTTTAACTATTTAAATCGCAACTTGATAAAGCATTGGAACACTTAATATTTCGACATCCATGAGGTATCATGCATATTATTATTATTATTATTATTATTATTATTATTATTATTATATCTTTGTAAAGTTATTCAAGAGATTCTGTAAAAATCCTATGGGACATGATAAATCGCCCATAATAAAACTTTGGCTAACTTACTCCACAATTAGCGTCATCGTCTAAGTAGACTGTAGGGTGTTGTTTTAGTCATCCTCACCGTTAACAATATAGGGAGGGATTAGGTTTTTTTCTATGTTTCCCCGTGTTGACGATGGGCTGAATTCAGTCGGACTGCGGTGTGTTCTTCAAAACAAACAGTCCGCTCAATCACCGCGAAATAAACGGCAAACATGTTTTACGTCTGACAAATCCTTATTGCGGTAGGCAATCGCAATCGCACCTCAGTTTTTGCCAGTATTAGTTCTGCACCTCCCCGGTTACCTCTTCTGATTCGTTGGAAAAGCTTAGCATCTTACAAGGTCAGCCAGTGAAGAAACGCTTTATATGCATCCAGAGAGAGAGAGTGAATCATCAGCAATTAAAGATATACAAAACGAGTAAACAGGATGCTTAGAGAATGAATAGTGTTCTAGTACTACTGTTTACAACTCTCAACCATACCATCTAGTCTTGGTTAAGTCGGCTGCTTATGCTACGATGTCTTCGAAATGTAGAGAGATCATAATACAACATACATCCCGCGTGAAAGTTGACTGAAAAACAAATCGAATGGGTAGGGGGGGGTCTGTGAATTTATCTGACCGCCAGCGGGGTGACACACTTGTGCTCGTGGAGGAGAATGCTTGGATTAACGTGGATATGATATTCAGGACGCCTACTGGCAGTTGGTATTTAGTTATAATCCAATGTAACTGACCAACCAATGCCCCATTTTATGGTGTTCACGGTAAGCGCGCTTTCCATGTGGATTGAAATATCAGCCCCTATACGTTTAAATCTCTGCAGAAGTAACCACAAAAGTTGCTGGAAATACCAAACCGTCATGGATACAGTGAGTTCGTGTATCATTGTACGCACGCTTCATACATAGTGCTTGTTTGTTGATCAGAAACATGTCCATCTAACTTGGGATTGAGGCCAGTAAGTACGTTCGTACCAAATAGGAATGGGTAAGTCTGTAGTATTCAGTCACTTCATTATATGTATATATATATATATGTGTGTGTGTGTAGTGTAGTGTGTGCTGGTCCCCTTCTATAGCTAAGCTAGCTCCTCATGCTGCACGCAAGGTTGGATTTCTTTTTTTTTATTACACGGAAGTGAATACAGTAAAAGGGGTAAACCCCATGATCCGAATATATACTGTAAGTGGGAAGGTGTGGGGAACATTCAAGCTAGAGCCAGCTTGTTGATTCTG